AACTTTTCCTCCCGTACCACCATCCCCTCCCTGCTAGATTGTAAGCTCCAAGGAGCAGGGCCCTCAATCCCCTCGTGTATCGCATTGTATTGGTATTGTTGGATGTGGTAATTGTTATTGTACTGTCTCATGTACTGTCCCCCTTTGTAATGTACAGTGCTGAGCGAACTATTGGCGCTATATAAATACTGTATAATAATAATAATAGTAATAATAATAATAATAAAAAACCTGCGTCACAATGAGTTTCTACTTCCCGTTCACCTCAAACGCGTTGCTGAATAAATACGTATCACATATAGAATGTGCCTAGACAATGGACACTATTCAGGGGTGCCGCTGCTGCCCGATTGGTAATTTAGACAACTAAAACGCTGTTCTAAGAGGTTCGCTCTGCGTTCCCGTCACATTTTTATCTATTGCCTTGTAAAGGGAAGGCAGCGCTAACCCTTGTAACTTCAATTCTCATAGATGACTGTTTTCAGTGATCGGAAGACGGATGCCGATGTCAGTGGTCAGTAGAGGGGAAGGCAGACTTCACATGTCAATGGGCATGAAATATTGCGGATAAGGATTTAATTTATTCTGGGACAGACACATCCCTCTATGTCCCCTTGTAGAATCTACCATCACTTACAGGCAGCATTATTACAAAGAAATGGGTTCAAGGCATTCAAACATGACCAACACTGGGCAGCACAGTGGCTAAATGGTTAACACTTCCACCTGGCAGTACTGGGGTTGTTGGTTCAAATCCCAACCAAAGCATCACCTGCCTGGAGTTTGCATGTTCTCCCTGTGCCTGTGTGGGTTTTCTCTGGGTTCCTCCCACACTCAAAAGGCATGCTGGTAGGTTAATTGAATTCTATCTAAATTGCCCCTAGTATATGAATGTAGGTTAGGGACCTTAGATTGTACACCCCTTGAGGGTTAGGGACTGATGTGAATGTACAATATATATGTAAAGCACTGCATTAATTGACAGCCCTATATAAGTACCTGAAATAAATAAAAATAGGACAATCACGGGAGAATGAAAACTCCTCCTACAAGCTATGTACTAAAAAAAGTTGCATGCAATGACTTATTATGGGGTGAATATTTAGTCAATGCCCTGTGATAATACATTTAGAATTGATATGTCCAGACAGACGAGATCATTACCTCTCCAGCAGCCATCTCACGTGAGTGTAGTGTTTGCATGCTGCTAGGACACTTTTTATACATCCCCATGGTAATGTCAACGGATCAAGAATACAAACAACGCCATCAGTGTGACATGTACACAAGAAAACCTATATGTACAGAAGACACATGGTCTTTGTGATTGGAAGTCACTGGGGGGCAGAAACAGGGCAGTTCTGAGGGTGGCGTCCTCTGCTTCTCACTCCATTTCTTGGGACAGCACAGTGGCTTCCACCCGGCAGTATTAGGGTCATTGGTTCAAATCCAAACCACAGCACCACCTGCCTGGAGTTTGCATTTTCTCCCTGTGCCCGTGTGGGCTTTCTCCCACACTCCACACTAGCACTTCCACCTGGCAGTATTAGGGTCATTGGTTCAAATCCCAACCACAGCACCACCTGCCTGGAGTTTGCATGTTCTCCCTGTGCCCGTGTGGGCTTTCTCCCACACTCCACACTAGCACTTCTGCCTGGCAGTACTAAGGTCATTGGTTCAAATCCCAACCACAGCACCACCTGCCTGCAGTTTGCATGTTCTCCCTGTGCCTGTGTGGGCTTTCTCCCATACTCCACACTAGCACTTCTGCCTGGCAGTACTAGGGTCATTGGTTCAAATCCCAACCACAGCACCACCTGCCTGGAGTTTGCATGTTCTCCCTGTGCCTGTGTGGGCTTTCTCCCACACTCCAAAGACATGCTGTCAAGCCCCGTACACACGATGAGAATATCGGACGAACAATCGCCTGTTTTTTTGCCTGCTAGTCTCACATCGAACGTGAAAAGGTTATTAAAGATACAAAAATTCTCCTATGAAAGAAAAGAATGTTGAAAGTGATGTCATGTATTGTATTGTATTGGTATTGTATTTTCGGATGACTACTGTACTGATTAAACGAAAATTGTACGATCTGGTATCATGTGAGAAAATTTTTCGTGCTTGTCCCTTCGGAAATTGTCGTGATCGACTCTCAAAAGCTGTGTACTAATGATCCGATTATTGGATGATCGGTCCTCGTACGAAAATTTTCGTACAATATTCTTATAGTGTGTACGGGGCATTAATTGGCTCCTGTATAAATTGTCCCTAGTGTATGTACTGTATGAATGTGAGTTAGGGACCGTAGATTGTACGCCCCTTGAGGGTTAGGGACTGATGTGAATGTACAATATATATGTATGATTAAATTATTATTATACAGGATTTATATAGCACCAACAGTTTGCGCAGCGCTTTACAATATAAGGGAGAAAGTACAATTACAATACATTTCAGTACAGAAGGAATAGGAGGGCCCGACTCGTGGAGCTTACAATCTAAAAAGGAAGGGGGAGGTGATACAAAAGGTGATAGCTGCGGGGGATGATCTGATGCAGGTGGCTCAAGTACAGTTCTTAGGTGGAGGTGGGGTAGGCTTCCCTACATAAGTGAGTTTTCAAAGATTGCCTAAAGGCAGACAGGGTGGGGGCTGAGCGAACATACTACAGTAGGGAGTTCCAGAGGATGCGAGAGGCTATTGAGAAGTCCTGGAGGCGAGCGTGAGAGGAGGTGACGAGGAAGAGGTCTTGGGAGGAGCGGAGCGGGCGATTTGGATGATATCTATGGATTAGGCTGGTGATGTAGCTAGGGGCAGTGTTGTGGATGGATTTGCATGTTGTGGTTAGTATTTTGAATTTTATACGCTGGGCTAGTAGAAGCGAATGAATTGACAGCATTATATAAGTACCTGTAATAAATAATAATGTCAGCAGAGGAGAGGACAGGTTGCTTCTCCAGGACAGATAAGCTAGGGCTGCAATTCCTAAATATATAAAGTGTAACGCCAGAATTACATCCAGAAATTATAAACTGCAAATGCAACAAATTATACACATATAATGCAAATATCCAGCACTTTAAACACTGTTCACATTGTTCCATTTTGGTTCATTGTCTTGACAATAAAAGTTGTTTGGATTAAAAAAAAAAAAAAAACACTGTCCACAGCTTTTTTTAAAATTCAGCTCCAGAACCAAGACATCAAGACTTTCATGTACTTTTGTACTCTCTGAATCAAAGTTGCATCAAAAGTCCCATCAAAGTAGTGCATCCACCTTTTTAAAGTGGCTGAGACATTAAGTTGCACCGATTTGAACGGGTGCCATTGAAAAGAATGGGCTGCAACTTGTCATTCGACTTTGAGGGCCAAAGTCGCATGACAAGTCGCACAAGTGTGAATAGAGCCTAATGCAGGCCATAGACGGGTCGTTTATCAGCCGAATGTTCGTGTGCACTCCGAAAAAAATCGGCCAATATTCATGCCATTAGTGGGGCAATGCCATCAGCCATTTTTCGCGGTTCTTCCCTTTTCTTTTTATCGTTCATGCTGGAAAATCCACGAAAAACGGTAGTTTTTCGTCACCATTGGTGGCAGCATCCATAGCAGGAACGACTGATTTTTCGTTTATCGGCCGACAATTCAGCCGATATAAAGGCCTGTCTATGGCCTGCATTAGGCTAGGTTCACACTTATGCAGTTTGCGTTTGATCCATTTCAGCTGTGCTTTTTGTGGTGCTTAATGCGATTTACTTTTTTTTCCCAACTTGTTGCCGGGCAGATTAAAATGCAAAACACATCAAAAATGTGTCAAAAATGCATCAAAAATGCACTACATGCATTTCTGTAGTGTCTCCATTAAAGTCTTTTGAACCAAAAATGCAATATTTTGCATTTAAAAAAGTCTCTGACCCTTTCCAAAAAACGCACGGGGTGAAAACACGGAGATGTGAACCTGTCCCATAGGAAATTATGTTAAGTGGAATGTTGTGTGTTTCTGCAAAACACAATGGAAAAACTATGTATGAACATAGACTTGGGCTACTTTGACACTGAGGTTTGTCAAACACAGGGCTCTGGGCTCTGATTGGACACAGCCGGTCAGCAGGTGCGGCCATGAATCGTTGTCCGGTACCCACTGGTGAAATCCTGCTGTGTCTAATCACGACAAGGAACGCATGCGCACGGCCTAAACCCAACGGAGGCGAGCGACGTACGGGTATGTTGCTGTGCCTGTGCGACCCTTCTAGAAGCGATTTCTAAGATGATCCACAGGTTTTACAGTTCAGGATGTGGGCTGTACATTTGCTGCCCCCCTATTCTTGCCAGACAGACTGCATGCTTGAATTACGGTCTACTGTGAATGCTTAGGAAGCCTACCTCTATTTTTTTATATTTTCTGCTGGGTAACCCTTCATATTGATATCAGACCCTAAATTCCAAAAGAGTGTCTGTTACTTATATTAACCTCCCTGGCGGTATGATTATTTCAGATTTTTGGTGCTGAAAGCGGTACCATTTTTTTTGCATGGAAATATGTTTTTTTTTTTATTGTAGGCTGTAATTTTTAGGAATAACTCACTGAAATCTGTCCGAACAAGAGTCTAGTAAACATCCCGGGTATGATAAAATTTGAAACACTAAATCATAAATTATAATTTAATAAATAATCATAAAAATAATAATATAATAATAATAAATTTAATTTAATAATATAATCAAACCCAAAAACACTTAAATTTGAAATATAGCGTCAAGTTCCCACATCACTGAGCAAAGTCGCAAAATCGTTTTCAGTGTCTGATGACGAATTTCCTCACGAATCATTATCACTCAATTCTGCAAGTGATTCTAATTTACTATCGCTGTTCTCTAGCCGGTCTAAAACCGCTTTTGACCTAAAAGTGACGCTTTTTGGACACGCCATGGACATTTCTCAGTTTCCAGGCAATAAGAACAGTAAAAATGCAGGCAGGACACAGGACAAAGCACTCGGGACAAAATGTATGTGAAATGGTTTGATACAGGAATGTTATACTATGTGATTTTAGTGATTTTAGTGAATGTCACTTTTTGTCATTTTTGAATTTCCCGCCGTTCCGTCCCCCGTACGTCCCGACGCTCACAGGGGACGGAACCCAGATGACAGATGCTGTCATCCGCCGGATTACATTGTCGGGGACACTGCAGGAGGGACATCGTGGGAGCGCAGGACAAGGTAAGTGATACAGGGATCGTGGAGCAGCGCCGCATGGTATTCCCGAGTGTAGCTCGGGGTTACCGCTTGTGGTACTGAAACCTTACCCGAGCTACACTCGGGAATACCGCCAGGGAGGTTAAGGGGAACCATACTTTATTTATACAGCGGAGTTCCCATTTATGATCATAGCTGACCTTAATCCTGGATGAGGGAGGTAGGGATATTGACCCCTAAGCATAAAGGTTAAACAAATGTTAAAGCCTAAGCACAATTTTGCAACTTTGGCATGTGTTACTGTTCGTGTACAAAACTCATACATATCATCACATACATATCATCACATACATTTAATCACATAACATCACATACATATCATCACATACCATCACATATCATCACATACATATCATCACACCATACACCATCACATATCATCACATACATATCATCACATACATATCATCACATATCATCACATACATATCATCACATACCATCACATACATATCATCACATACCATCACATACATATCATCACATACATATCATCACATACCATCACATAACATCACATACATATCATCACATACCATCACATATCATCACATACATATCATCACATTACCATCACACATATCATCACATACATTTAATCACATGACATCACATACATATCATTACATACATATCATCACATACATATCATCACATATCATCACATACATATCATCACATACATTTAATCACATAACATCACATACATATCATCACATACATATCATCACATATCATCACATACATATCATCACATACCATCACATACATATCATCACATACCATCACATACCATCACATACATATCATCACACATACCATCACATATCATCACATACATATCATCACATACCATCACATACATATCATCACATACCATCACATAACATCACATACATATCATCACAACTACTTTGTGCATCCAGGTAGATTATACCTTGTTTTTTTTTCAGGACAAATTGGGCTTCCATTTGGTGGTCAATGGTAATAGATATCTCCTGATTTTTTTTTTTTTTTATTATTAGCAAAGGAAAACTGACCAAAAGTAGTAAACAAAAACCCCCAAAAACATCTTTTAAAATTTAGTTGTATATTTCTTGCAACTACCATAACCAACTACCAAAGAACAACCCAAAATAAATTCTCCTGCTCCTGTCGATCGTAGTGATACCACATATGTGTATGCTAGTTGTTGTTTGTACCCGTAGTACAGCCCAATAACAATAGGGCAAATTTAGATTTTTTTTTCTATCCTACCCCTAACTGACACTGATACTAATTTAAAAATAAAATAAAAAAATGCTGATGAAAAAAAAAAAACTGTCCACAACCCTTGACTTTTGCCCCTTACTTGACCTAAACACTAACCCTGGCACTAACCTAGATCAAACATTGATCTAGGTATTTTTATTTATTTATTTACTTATTTATTTTATTATTATTATTTGTATTTACATTTATTTACAAAACACTTTTTTTCTCTGTGAAGGACAGAGAGATACAATGTATCTCTCTCCTCCATTCAGAGAGAGAACACAAGGCGGGCTTCACAGTGACTGATCACTGTCACATCCAATCAGATGCTATCACAGCAATCATGTGAAAAATGTTAGAACGGGACCCGGGGCTTTCACTGACACCCGGCTTTTGTGCTGGGAGCGTATTGTGCGACGTGCTACCGGGCACAAAGACAGGTTTGCAAATGAGTGGCCCCACGGAAAAAAACACAGTTCAGTGGGGCTGCTAATTTGCATACGCTCGGCGCCAAGGGGTTAAAGGGGAGCCCCACACTTTAGTTTTGTGGTCGAAGTTCCTCTTTATATTTTATTTATTTTATTTCAGGTACTTGTATAGCGCCGTCAATTTACGCAGCGCTTTACATATATATTGTACATTCACATCAGTCCCTAACCCTCAAGGGGCGTACAATCTAAGGTATTCATATCAGACGTTGGGCTCCATTCACGAAGCATTAAGAACTGCGGTAAAATACTGCTTAGCGGTTTTCACATTTTTTTGGCATTCACTAAACTACGGCGTGAGCTATTTTATGAAGTAATGCGATATTTTAGTAGTGGAAGCTTGTGGTATTTAATGCCAGTGGTGGCTGGGAACCTTCACAATCGTGGCATCTGCTATCAATGGGATTCCCCGCTGACCACAGAATGTAAGCAAAAGAATTGCCGGCATTTAAGAATTAAGAAAAAAAAATGCTGTGGGGTCCCCCCAATCCTTATCAGGCCCCAAGCATACAGCCTGGTAGGCCAGGGAAGAAGGGGGGATGAGTGAGCGCCCCCCCTCCTGAACCATACTCTCAACATGTGGGGGGTTCTTTGGGGCAGGCACAAGCACCCTGCCCCCATGTTGATGCAGACAAGGGCCTATTCCCCACAGGACCTCTTTTTTTTTTTTTTAATCTGGGTCGGCCGATCGGCATTTATCGTGTTTGATGATGGATCACTTTTTTTAATTATTATTTTTTAATAAAGAACTTGTCAAAAACTGACTCCTGTCTTCATTTACACTACTCTTTTGTTTTTTTTATAAATGAAACTCATTCATATGGCTGGGAGGAACTGGGATCTGCGGGCCCCCTTGTTAAAGGGGGCTTCCAGATTCCAATAAACCCCCACCTGCAGACCCCCACAACAACCACCTCAGGGTTGTGGGGAAGAGGCCCCTGTCCTCATCAACAACATGGGGATAAGGTCCTTTGGGGTAAGCCTACTAACCTAAAGCATCCCCCGATGTTGAGGGCATGTGGCCAGGTATGGTTTGGGGGAGGGGGTGTGTGCTCGCTCATCCCACCCCTTTCCTGGCCTGCCGGGCTGCATGCTCAGATAAAGGTCTGGTAAATATTTTTGGGGGACCTCACACCATTTTTTTTGTTGTTCTTATTTTGGCATTTTTTTTCTAAATTTTTAACCACTTCCCGCCCGGCCCATGTACATAAAACGGCTGGAAGGGAGCATTGCAGGAGTGGGTTGCCATTCATAAAGGGTGCCCGCATTTTCAGCTTGTGTGCGCTCCCAGCGGAACACTGATCGCTGTACACGACCTCTGTGGGAAGTCCCGATCATGTGATCACTGATTGGCCAATCAGTAATCACATGAATAGTAGTAAGCAAGATGTCACTTCCTGACATCATTTCTTACTACATGTGAAATACAGTATGTGAATGATCACAGAGGTCACACGGTACAAGGCTATTCACAACAGTCTTGTACCATGTGACAGGCTGTGACCAATCACAGCTCTCAGTATTTCTCAATGCCTGCAAGAATACAGCTAGAGAGAAGGAGAAATTATTGTTTTTACAGCCTTTATGGGTGTAAAAGCAATCAGTGTAAAAAAAAAAAAATTCTTCATCACCCCCCCACAAGTAGTACAGTGTCACTATGGTGACACTGTACTGCTAGGGTGACAGTATGTTTTAATAAAAAAAAAAGAAATTTTTGAAAAAAAAACCCATAAATAATAATATTTAAAAAAAAATAAAAATGCAAAATTTTATAAGAAAAACACTTTTTTAAAAATTTTTTGGACGTTTTCATTTATATAGCAAAAAAAAAAAAAATCCCAGTGGTGAATAAATACCACCAAAATAAAGTTTTATCTGTCTCAAAAAAATGCTAAAAAATTCATATGGGTACAGTGTTGCATGACCGCGCAATTGTCATTCAAAGTGTGACAGCGCTGAAAGCTGAAAATTGGCCTGGACAGGAAGGGGGTAAAAGTGTCCGGACTTGAAGTGGTTAAATGCAATTCTTTTGTTTACTTCTGCTGTCAGTGGGGAATTCCATTGTTGTCATGATTGTTAAGGACTCCCTCCACTCCTTAACCAGTTAAAATCAAACAGGTTCCTTAACATGCCTGGACCACTACTTATTTACCGCACGCATTTATTTATTTCCTTTTGTGAATTTTTTATGCCGTTTTATGCCGTATTTACTGAGGTTTTTTTTTTTTTGCTTTTTGTAGGTAAATACCGCATAAAGCAATAATGAATTGACATTTTCAGTATCACAGGCAGTATTTAAGAAAACAAATATATACTGCATGCGGTCTGCTTTAGGGAATGAAGCCCACTATCCCTGAAAGGAGGGTCTTCTACAATATTAAAGAGGAACTCCACACAGATTTTCATTTTTTGTAAGCTGCAAAGCTCCCATTTATACGCATCAGACACTAATCCTGGATGAGGGTCTGGTATGGATATTAAAGTGGAACACCACACCTAAGTTTTTCAGCAGGGTTACCCTTTATAATCATAGCAGATAATAAAGGATAAGTTCAACTTTTGGACAAAAATAATAAATGCACATTTTTTTGCAGGTAAAAAATGTGCATTTATTATTTTTGTCCAAAGGAGCCTAGAAAGCATTGCACCAGCAATCAGTAGATTGCTGATGCCATGCAGGTCTCCTGCAGATCTGTCAGGTTATCTGCTTGCCGTACGAGATGTACGGGATATATGGTATGTACGGGATATATGGTATGTACGGATTGTATGGTATGTACAAGATGTATGGGATGTATGGGATATATGGTATGTACGGGATATATGGTATGTACGGATTGTATGGTATGTTCAAGATGTATGGGTGTATGGGATATATGGTATGTACGGGATGTATGGGATGTACGGGATGTATGGTATTTACGGGATGTATGGTATGTACGGGATATACGGTATGTTCAGGATGTACGGGATGTACGGTATGTACGGGATGTATGGGATATATGGTATGTACGGGATGTACGGGATGTACTAGATGTATGGGATATATGGTATGTACGAGATGTATGGGATGTACAGGATGTACAGGATATATGGTATGTACGGGATGTACTGGATGTACGGGATATATGGCATGTACGGGATGTATGGGATGTACGGGATGTATAGGATGTACGGTATGTAAGGGATGTACTGGATGTACGGGATATATGGTATGTACGGGATGTATGGGACGTACGGGATGTATAGGATGTACGGTATGTAAGGGATGTACTGGATGTACGGGATATATGGTATGTACGGGATGTACAGGATGTATGGGATTGTACAGGATATATAATATGT